TTTGTTTTAATTCCAAATATAATTATTAAATATTTTACCAATTTAAGTGATAAGAAATATGACAAAAAGAAAAAGGTGGGCAAAATAAAATCTATATCATTAGAAGTTGAAGACAGAGACTAATCCTACACATAAGAAAGTGAAAGGGAGAATGAGTCTTCATTTGAGCAAATAACTTTTTTAGTGCTTTCCAAAGCAACTTTTAGTACAAAATTTTTCTAAGCTAAAAAATATTGTACTTGAAAGCTTCTTTAGGAAGCAATAAAAAAGCTATTCCAAACAAAGCTTGAATGTGTTATAATGCTCTCTTTACTAAGGATGAAATAGAAAATGTAAGAAAATTCAAAAATTTCTTTGTTAAGTTCCTACATATAAGTATAGGTGATATATCAATAAGTAGTTTATTTTAATAGAATGAATCTCTAATAGCTCTAAGTTTTGAGAGAGAAAGCTTCATTTTTTTTTTTTTGAATTCATACGATCCTCATTTCCCGACTGTTATAAATGGTGGCAGAGGGTCGCCGGTCATCAGTTGCTGATGACCGGAATACCTCCGTTCCAAACTTTGTGCGGCATCCTGATGATTTTTAACATTGTGGATCTAAGAGCAGGGGCTTTCCAGTTCGGGATGGATCTGGCAAACAACGTCCTCTAATCATCAATGAAGGATGCTTTGATTCTGTTTACAAGCCAGCTTCGGTTATGGGTAAGGGAAAGGAAGTTATTAAATCTCTTTGAAAGAGGTTTTGGCTGTTCATTCTTCTCCGGTTATGAATTTGATGTCGAGAATCTCTAATGATTCAGAGGCGTCTTCATCAATTGGGTTTAAATTAAAAGTAAACAGATTTTCTTCTGTTGTTGATATTGAGCCAAAAAATCAGGAAAATACAAATTTGAATTATGAGGTAGAGAAAGCTAAGACTGTTGAAGAAGAATTGCAAATGGAGAAGAGCATGAAAGCTGTACCAAATGCTGACAGTAACAACTTTGGATTGGAGAATGATTGGAGTAAAACCGATCATATTAAAGTTAATTATGTGAAGGCTGATCCTTATGAGGATGGTGAAGCTAATTTTGTTAAATTGAATATGGCTAAGGTATGTGAAAATATTAAACTCCTTCAAAAATCTCTAGTAATCAAAGTATTTGGGAAATATGTACCATTTTCTATTTGTAGCATTGAATTGAGAAGACAATGGAATAGATTTGGTACTTTTCATGTCACATCATTGGGCTTAGATTGGATTTTGTGTTCTTTCTAATCTACTCAAATAATGGAAGAAGTACTAAGTAGAGGATCATGGTTTGTGGGTGAACATATAATTGGGATGGATAAATGGACACCTCAAATTTCACCATCCTCATTAAAAGGTTTATCCTCACCAATTGGGGTCTGGTTGCCTCATCTGCCACTGCATTGCTGGAATGAGGTGAATGTGACGAAGATTGTTTCGAAAATAAGAATTCCATTGTTCTTGGACGGAAAAATGCTTAAATGGGGGAGGCGAGAATTTGCAAGAGCCTGTGTTCGAATTAATCTTGAATCCAAATTAACTATTGGAGTTTGGATCGATGGCTTTTATGGAAAATTTTTCCAAAGAGTTGAGTACGAGAAGATCTCAACGTTGTGCTTCAATTGCGGTACGATTGGCCATAAGAGTGAAATTTGTACGGATGCTCTAAAAGGAGATCAAAATAAATTGCATAAGGAAGTATTGAATAATGGGAATAAAGATTTGAGTAAACAAGTAATGGATAGTTCTTATTCCAAAGAATATGGCCCTTGAATACATGTGAACTTTAAGAAGAAAAGGATAAACAAGGTTAAGAATAAATTTCAGAGGCCTGTAGCTCATGAAAAGGCTAATAAGTTTGTTGTGTTATCTCATGACTATGAGAATGGGGATACCAGGGAAGGGTTTGTATCAGATAAACCTGTCTTGGGAAAGCAGGGTTTAGATCAGGTTGATGCAAATATTGAGGAGGCTGGGTTTGAAAATGTGACTCATATATCACAAGTTTTATAAGTTGCTGATGTGGATTCAGCAGAAAATGTTGCTCAGAAGCCTGGAATAGACTGTTTTTTGGATGAAGGAATTGATGGTAGTTTTTAGAAGGTTGAGCTTTCAGTTTTCGGCTATATACAAGCTGACAATTATAACAAATGTGAAGATGTTCTTGTTGAAGTTATTGTTGAAGATAGCCCTGAGAAACCGCAAGATGTTATCTCTAAATCTGAGCCTATTGGAAATACTGATAAGGCTTCCGAGATAGAAGATGGTAAATTTATGTTACCATCTAAATCTATTCAGAACAAAAAAAAGTTAACCAAAGATTTTGGGCCTATCAAAGGCATTCTTAGAGGAAGAAAGATGGGATTGCTTGATGAAAATGATGGTCTCACTTAACCATCTTTCACTTATTTAAAATTGAAGGATGAGGACGTTTTGTATCAAAGAAAGTGGAAAAAAGCTTGAGGATTTGTGGATTGAAAGTCAAGGCATGGCTAGGACGAAAATGGTGAAAGTGATCAAATGGTAGTCATCAAAGCATGAAGATAATTGTTTTTACTTTATGGTTTTTTCATGTATTTATGATTATGGTTATTGCTTTTTTAGATTTAAATTAAGCACAAATTTGTATTTGAAAGATGGGGATAGAATTTGGAATTTTAAGAATCATTCTATTCCTTATTTTTGACTTAATCGGGAATTCTGGGATACTAATCAACCTTTTCAGTTGATTAATTCTTGGTATCCCCTCCACCCGAATTGGTTTAAAATGAGGAGTAGAGGGTCTTATGTTACTTATGAAATTTCATATCTTTCAAATATACTTCTTGTTCTTAATTTTTCTTTAATAAGGCTTTCTTTCATAAGTATAGAAAGGATTGCCATTAGGCATCTTATCTAGTTTGTAATTGCTTTGTTTTTCTTTAAATGCAAGTTGCATCTTTCAAAAAAAAAAAAAAAAGCTCTAAGTTTTTAAGTTAGAATGAGTGATCAATATTTATTTGGATTAAGTCATCATCTTAGTGTGGGCCTTACACCATAATTTTCATTTGCGTGGGAGTAGTCATATAGATTTGCTAGCAAAAATGAACTCAATACAATTCAATATGAATCTTGTCATAAAAGTAGGATATAGATTATAGGTGTAGAATTTGTATATCCTCTAATACTTTTAGTATTTGGTTGCTTGTTTGAACTAATAATAGATAAGAAATAAGAAATATGTTCCTAAATTTTATTGAATTAATGGATTCGAGTTACTAGTGTGTAAGTGATCATAGATGAAAAAATTCTAGGTAATAAAAGAAAAACATGGGTTCACCGTCAAATTGAATTCCTAGATAATGAAAGAGGTATGAAAAAAAATTGTGACACATTCTTTGAGTTCATTAAAATTTATGAAGGGGAGTTTCTAGAACATACTAGAATGATAGGGTTCTTCATTAAAAGTTCCATAACTCAACTCAATGTATGTTATTCATAAAGATTATGCTAGATAACATTCTTTCATTAGTTTTTCACTTTGGTTTTATGATTGTTTTTTGTCTATTTAGCATGAACAAATTGAAAAAAGCCGTTTAAGAATTTTTTTGGTTATAGGGATCTTGTTTATGCCTCATAATTGCTTATAGCAAGTTTTCTTTGTCAAATTTGTTGTTTATTGTGACAAGGTTGATACTGATGGCAAGCTTGGCGGTGGAATTTTCTTCTGGCTTCGGCAATATCATTGAAAGACTTTGGAAAAATTTTGTTAGAGTTCTTTGGTCGGAATTTAATTGTCTTCGAGTTAAATCTTGAAAAAATAAATTGTATAATTAAAATCCAAATTTTTGATTAAATTGATACAAAAATTCAAATGCATTTATACTCACTTGAGTTAATTAGGAGCATTTTTTTATTGTAATGACTCAAATTTAGAATTAAGCCTAAAAGACAATTTTGGAACTAAAGAAGCAATGCATTTGAATTGTTATAAATTATTTGTCATCTTAAATTAAACATTTAGGACAAATGACTTTTAATAATGTTAAGCTAAATGCATTAATGACTTTGGAGAAATCCAAACTTTTTTTTAGAACATCGAAGATAAATGAAAAAAATTTGTGTCGAGATATTCGAATGTAAAAGGTGTCAGGATTGATTTTAAAGCACTTGGTTTGCACAAAGACTAATGTTTTATATGATATCTTAAACTGCACTAATCCTTACACAATTTCAAAAACTTTGAAGCCCATCTTAATTCGTTATGTATCACAATATTCTGATATAATTTTTTTTCCATCTATATATAAAAAAGCTAGTGTTAAATTAAGGAAACTATTGATTTTTAATTATCAGTGACAAAAACACAAATTGGGCTCGCGAGGGATAAGGAGAGAGAAATAAGTCTTCGATATGGGAGGCCGGTTTCGGGCCCGACCCCAAATGATAGTGCTTACGGCTTGTTCATCCTACTATTATAGGAAACTATTTGTGATAATTGAGTCAATTTAGTTATTTTGGGCTTGTTCATCCTACTATTATATGGCTTTTCACAAACCATTTTAACTGATTCAAGCAATTTCGATCATTATCTTACTTATTCGAGGATATAATAATGTTTTCAGATGGCTCAGTATTCATTTTTTCAATCAGAAATTGAGCTCGATTAGACGAATTTTAAAATCACTAGTTTCCCTCTCCCTTGAAGCAAAAGAAATCTGTTGAGACAGCTTCCCCCACTACCAGCTTCTCCACGCTCCGCATAGAGGAAATGTCCCCACGACGTTCTGACATCCGATAGCTTAGTATAACTAACAGGGTTAATACAGTCATTTACATATATGCAACTTTAGCTATATAATCAATTGTATTTCACAGAAGCTAATAAATGAGAATCATGAGATTTACTGTTCACCTTCGTCTTCCTCTGTTCTGTCGTCGAATATCCTGTATCTTCATGGTATCAGAGCCGCTTGCCTAACGGCTCATCCTCGTGTGAGATTGACGATGGGAGACTTGTCGGCATCCACACCGAACACACCACCTCCTGCGGGATTGACGTCCGACGTCACGACCACCTCCATTGATGTAGTTATTCCTCCCACCCTCAAATTTCTTCTTGCAAACATCAAGAACGTGATCAACGTTCATCTATTACTCGAAAATTACCCCACCTGGCGGACGGCCATCTACAAGCTATTTTCCACAAATCACTTCTCCGGCTACCTAGACGGGAATATTCTCTGCCCACCAAAACATCTTCTTACCGCTAATGGACAGCTCACTCTCAACCCCCAGTTATCTTCATGGTCGCTCATCGACCAAAATCTTTCCATGGCTCTGTTTTCTACTATTTCCCAGTCCATCTTACCTTACATTCTCAACCTAGACACTTCAGCCTCTATTTGGCGAACCTTAGAACAACGATTCTACTCTACGAATCTCTCCCGAGTCATACAGCTCAAAAACGAGCTACATTCTCTATCAATGCAGAACAAGTCCATGACGGACTATCTAGCTTCTATCAAAAGCCTCGTCGACAGCATTCGAGCGGCTGGAGGGACCATTGACAATGAAGATGTTCTACATTATATCATCAATGGCTTACCGCCGTCATACCAGTCGTTCAAGACAACTATCCGGAGCTCCCTTCAACCCATCAGCTTGGACGATCTTTATTCTCTTCTTCGCAGTGAGGAGGTTCATCAATCAACTGATGCCATTCGAGATCTCTCCTTTTCCACTGCCTCTTCTACTGATGCACCTACTGCTCTGTTTTCCAATCGTGGACGCGGTTGATCTCATTTTTCGTCTAACCGAGGATGCGGGGATATACCATTAGTGATGTTAAGGTCATTGTTGAGAGTTTAAGAGGAATTTCTGCTAGTCAGATGAAAGTTTTTCATAATGAAGTTGAACTTCAGGATAGCTTTACCTTATCATTCTACAAAATAAAGCACCAATCTATTTTACATCTGCAAGCTCAAATACAGATATTTCCCAAACTTCTAACTGGAAAGATCATAAGTATCACAGCTGAAGCTAGCGATACCATTGCCATTATCATCAGTAAGATTGCAAGCATGATTGATGTTAAAAGCAAGAATTTGAGGCTCTCGTATGCCAGATAGGTACTTGATGATCAGAATCAGAAGACTCTTGCATTCTATGGTATTAATAGAGAATCAACAATCATTATACGTTTAAGGTTTCCATGATTGTTGAAACAAGTGGTACTGTTGGTGGATGATTCAGAATTAATCACTTCATATGATAGTTGCATGTTAAATTTAGTGGCACGCTTCTCCCTTACTTTTATGGGTGGCAACATCGGGACTTCAATTCAATTGTTTTGAATTACTGAACTATTTTGAATGCCGATGTTGATAATTTATAGGGCTAAGTACTCTTTACTGATTTTTTTGCAATTTAAGTTGCTGCCAATGATTAAAAATTATCCTTCATCATGCGAATAGCCAGGGAACTAACCTAAATATGATAATCAAAAAAGAATGTCCATAAGGAATGACAAATTAATCATGATATCATTTTGTGGTTGAAATAGGAGTTACTTCTTTGACTCCTTATTTTGAGAGAAGTAATGTTATGAATCTTTGATGCATTAGAAAAATATTTATGGCTGCTTTGAGATTATGAGAAATTTAAAAATTAATGTAAGGCAACTTCGGTGATGATTTAAAATTTATTTTTGCTTTGTGATGGTATGGAATTAAATAGATTTTAAATTATATTGGAGTGGTAGCGAAAGATTTACTGTTGATGGAAGGTTAAGGAAAAAAATTGGTTAATTTCAAAATTGTTTATAGATTTTTGGTAGATCATTTTTTTTAATTGAATAGGGTGAGAATCTTCATATCATTAGTTAATTAATGAATGTTGTTGAGACAGCTTTCCCCACTACCAGCTGCTCCACACTCAGCATCCAGGAAATGTCCCCACGACGTTCTGACGACCGATAGCTTAGTATAACTAACAGGGTTAATACAATCATTTACATATATGCAACTTTAGCTATATAATCACATGTATTTCATAAAAGCTAATTAATGAGAATCATGAAATTTACTGTTCACCTTCGTCTTCCTCTGTTCCGTCGTCGAATGGCCTGCATCTTCATGGTATCAGAGCCGCTTGCCTAACGGCTCATCCTCATGTGAGATTGACGATGGGAGACTCGTCGGCATCCGCACCAAACACACCACCTCTAGTGGGATTGACGTCCGACGTCACGACCACCTCTATTGATGTAGTTATTCCTCCCACCCTCAAATTTCTTCTTGCAAACATCATGAACGTCATTAACGTTCATCTATTACCCGACAATTACCCCACCTGGCGCACGGCCTTCTACAAGCTGTTTGCCAAAAATCACTTCTCCGGCTACCTAGACGGGAATATTCTCTGCCCACCAAAACATCTTCTTACCGCTAATGGACAGCTCATTCTCAACCCCCAGTTTTCTTCATGGTCGCTCATCGACCAAAACCTATCCGTGGCTCTGTTTTCTACCATTTACCCGTCTATCTTACCTTACATTCTTAACTTAGATACTTCGGCCTCCATCTGGCAAACATTAGAACAACGATTCTACTCTACGAATCGTTCCCGCGTCATACAGCTCAAAAACGAGCTACATTCTCTGTCAATGCAGAACAAGTCCATGACGAACTATTTAGCTTCTATCAAAAGCATCGTCGACAACATTCGAGCGGCTGGCGGGACCATTGACAATGAAGTGTTCTACATTATATCCTCAATGGCTTACCGCCGTCATACCAGTCGTTTAAGACAACTATCGGAGTTCCCTTCAACCCATCAGCTTGGACGATCTTTATTCTCTCCTTCGCAGTGAGGAGGTTCATCAATCAACTGATGCTATTCGAGATCTCTCTTTTTCTACTGCTCCTACTGATGCAGCTACTACTCTGTTTTCCAACCGTGGACGCGGCTGATCTCGTTTTTCGTCTAACCGAGGACGCGGTCGATCTCTTTCAACCAATGCCAATCGAACCACCATGCGTCCACCTAGATTTGACGGAGATTGTCAAATCTGTGGAAAATGCGGGCACTGCAGTAAATTGTTGGCATAGAGGAAACTTCAACTACACAGCCCCAGCTTCTAACTCCAATGTGGCTCTTCTAACAGATTCTGAATCTTCACCATGGTACTTGGATAGTGGGGCATCAGCTCACCTCAGGTCTTCTTCCAACTCCCACGCGTAAGCTCCACCTCAAAAATCTTTACCATGTTCCTAATCTTACTCATAAAATCTTCTCTATTTCTAAATTAACTAATGATAACAACTGCTCCATCAAATTTAATAAATTTGGTTTTGCTGTTTAGGATTTGATGACCAAGCAACTTCTACTCCACGGACGTTGCCGTAATGGTCTCTATCCTATCCCCTCCCAGCCTTCCATAGTCGCAACGTCTACAACTCTGTCGTCCAACTGTTCTGCCGTCTCCTGGCATCGTCGTCTTGGACATCCCAATCCACGGATCATGGTTGCTATCTCCAAGCGTTTTCCTTCCTTATGCATTCCTCCTTTATGTTCTCTCTGTAATGCATGTGCTCTTTCAAAGAGTCACAGATTGCCTTTTATCTCTTCTGCTAATGTATCCTCTTCACCTCTAAACTTACTTCATGTTGATGTTTGGGGTCCTTCCCCGGTTATCTCTTTTTATGGTTTGCGTTATTTCTTACTTATTGTTGATGATTGTACTAAATTTACTTGGACTTATATGCTCAAACAAAAATCTGATGTTCCTAATTGTTTAGTCAATTTCATCAAAAACATAGAAAAACAACTAAAACTCACTGTTAGAACCATCCGCAGCGATGGAGGACGTGAATTCAATAATAAATTTATACTAGCATTCACTCTACATAACGGTATTACCCATCAGTTTTCATGTCCCTACACACCACAACAGAATAGCGTTTGTGAACGCAAGAATCGCCACCTCTTAGAGGCAACCCGTTCTCTTCTTCTTGAAGCAAATTTACCTCCTAAATTTTGGTCTGCTGCGGCTCTCACTGCTACCTATCTAATTAATCTTCTCCCATCCAACAATACCTCTAACACATCTCCTTATCAACTGCTCTATAATGAGCCCCCTGATTACACAATTCTACGCTCATTTGGCTGTCGTTGCTTCCCCTGGATTCGCTATTCGACTCCTCACAAACTTGCACCCAGATCCGTTCCCTGCATCTTTCTTGGCTACACCACAAACTATAAAGGATATAAGTGCTATAATCCCTCCACCAACAAACTTCTTATATCTCGCCATGTTACATTTGATGAATCATTCTTCCCGTCTCTTCCCCACCTCATTAGTCAACCTTCTAGTTCATCGTCTGATCTCACCATTCCCTATCTCCCTCCCTCTCCACCTAATGCAACTCAACAATCTTCCCCTACACAAAGTCAATCTCTTCTTTCTCCATCCACTCATTCTACTCAATCTATTGTTACATCATCTCCCACTACCACTTCGTCCTCTCACAACCACACTACATCTAATTCTTCTTCTCATTCACCTTCTACTCATCTAGAACCACCACCTCATCACCCCATGATCACCCGACTTCATACAGGAACGCTCAAACCTCGCATTATACTTGATCTAGCTCATACTGTCCAACCCACACCTACCTGCTTCTCTTCGGCAAACAAGGATTTGCAATGGTGTCAAGCAATGTCGGTAGAATTTCGTGCTCTTCAAGCTCAGGGCACCTGGTCCTTGGTGCCCTTACCATCCGGCCATCAACCCATTGGATGCAAGTGGATCTACAAACTAAAACACAATGCCGATGGGACCATCGCTCGGCATAAGGCTTGGTTGGTAGCTCAGGGTTTCAAACAAGCTTATGGAATTGATTACTTTGAAACTTTCAGCCCAGTTGTCAAGCACACTACCATTCAGTTATTTCTTCTAGTAGCTCTTCATTACAACTGGACTGTACATCAACTTGATGTAATGAAAGCTTTTCTTCATGGCTTATTAAGTGAAACCATTTATATGACTCAACCTCCGGGTTTTGAAGATCCAAATTTTCCGCATCATGTGTGCCTTTTGCGCAAAGCCATTTATGGCCTAAACAAGCACCGAGACTCTGATTTGCAACTTTGTCCAACTATCTCCTCACACAGCAGTTCACTGTCAGCTCAGCAGACCCCTCATTCTTCTATCGTCATCAGAACGATACTCACATATATCTACTAGTCTATGTCGATGACATACTAGTCACTGGCAGTGATTCGGAATGCATCTCTACCTTAATTACTAAGCTTGCTCAGTGCTTTCAGACACGAACTCTTGGACCACTATCCAAGTTTCTCGGCACCGAATTTCTTTGAACAGCTGACGGATACCATCTAACTCAGAAATCTTACATTTCAGAGCTCCTTCACGCAGCCTCTATGTCCAATTATAAGCCTCTACAAACTTCTCTACCATCCAAATATACCTCCGATCCTCATCTCCAGCTACCATTCCCTCAACCTGAATTATTTCGTCAGCTGGTTGGCTCTCTTCAATATATTACCTCCACTCGCCCAGACATTCCGTCAATAAACTTTGTCAACATATGCATAATCCCCTGCTCATTCATTTCCAGCTCCTGAAACAGGTATTGCGGTATCTTCACGGGACAATCAATCATACATTCTTTCTTCCCAAAACTGAGTTAACTCTTTCAGCTTATTCCGACTCTGACTGGGCTGGTGATCAACTCGATCGCAAATCGACTACAGGATACTGTCTTCTCCTTGGCACTGCCTTGCTTGCCTTGTCTGTTATAAAACAAACCACCGTCGCCAGATCGTCTACTGAGGCTGAATATCGGTCTATAGCCGCCGCAGCCACTGATATCATCTGGACTCGCCGTCTTTGTGAAGACTTTCTTCTTCCTCAGTAGCCAACCAAGCTCTTCTGTGACAATGTTTCAGCAATGTCTATTGCTTGCAATCCCATTTTTCATGCCAGGACCAAACATATTGAGATCGACCATCATTTTATCCGGGAATGTATTCAAGAAAACCACATTGCGGTTCACCATGTCTCCACTGTTGATCAGCTAGCCGATGTCTTCATAATGCCTCT